TCCAGATGTGATTGGTGCTAATGGGGGCCAAAGGGGCAATAAAATGATCTGGAGTGCCTGAAGAGGGAGCTCTGCTCAACTTGGGATTTCCTGTTGTTCAATTGTACATGTGCTATTGTGTGTTTGCTACAGTGTGTTGTTACTGCTAGCTTGCTTGTTGATCTGCCTGTTGTGTGCAGTGTGAAGTTTGGCTTTGAGTTGATAAGTGGCTGTCAATCTCATTTCCTTTTTGTATATTTTGTAAACTATTGTAAATATTGTGTCCACATATGGAAGCTGTACGGGGTGAGTGCCATTTCTTTTGTAAATAGTGTTTTCTCCTGTTTTTCCTTAGATAGGGAGATAGGGTAATTTATTGTATTTATTTTCTTTTGATAGGGAATTTAGATTTTCTGTCAGGAGTTAGTTGGTGTTTGTTTGTTGTTTTGGCCTTTGCTCACCCCTAAAGTTGTGCTTTCATTTGTGGTTCTGTAAATAAAAGTATACAAAGGATCTTTGGTTTCCAATTCCAGTTTATGTTGCGGCCTCACCCTAGACGGGGTCGTAACAAAACACACACACACACCATCAGGCCTTAATACTGCATGCTACTTGACTCACCTTGAACTCTGAGAGCCAGTCTTCCACTATCCCTCTATCTGTAGCCATCCCCACTACCTGAGACACGAGACACACACAGAAACACTGCAAATTAGATACATGTTTTAACAATCAACTCATCAGTGGGTTCCCTGAATGACTGATTATCAACTGGCCGGAATTTTGAGATCGCAATAGACGTGAAGGACTATAATGCGTTAAGAGCTCGCTCAAGTACTGCGGAGCAAAACCATTTAGTGCTTTGTAAGTAATCAGCAATATTTTAACATTTATACTATGTTTAATAGGCAGCCAATGCAGTGTTGACAAAACCGGGCTAATATGGTCATATTTCCTGGTTCTGGTAAGAACTCGAGCTGCTGTAGTTTGTTTATTAAGCGTGCAGGGCAACCACCCAGTAGAGCATTACAATAATTTAGCCTTGAGGTCATGAACACATTAACTAATTGTTCTGCATTTGTCAATGAGAGCATATGGCGTAATTTAGATATATTTTTAAGATGGAAAAATGTGGTTTTACAGATACTCAAATGAAAGATTGCTATCAAAGAGAAAACCCAGGTTGTGCTAGAACAGAGATGGGATCTAAAACTGCTGGGAAGAGTTGCGGTAGAACAGAGAGACGGGATCTAAAACTGCTGGGAACAGTTGCGGTAGAACAGAGAGACGGGATCTAAAACTGCTGGGAAGAGTTGCGGTAGAACAGAGAGACGGGATCTAAAACTGCTGGAAAGAGTTGCGGTAGAACAGAGAGACGGGATCTAAAACTGCTGGGAAGAGTTGCGGTAGAACAGAGACGGGATCTAAAACTGCTGGAAAGAGTTGCGGTAGAACAGAGAGACGGGATCTAAAACTGCTGGGAACAGTTGCGGTAAAACAGAGAGACGGGATCTAAAACTGCTGGGAAGAGTTGCGGTAGAACAGAGAGACGGGATCTAAAACTGCTGGAAAGAGTTGCGGTAGAACAGAGAGACGGGATCTAAAACTGCTGGAAAGAGTTGCGGTAGAACAGAGAGACGGGATCTAAAACTGCTGGGAACAGTTGCGGTAGAACAGAGACGGGATCTAAAACAGCTGGGAAGAGTTGCGGTAGAACAGAGAGACGGGATCTAAAACTGCTGAGAACAGTTGCGGTAGAACAGAGAGACGGGATCTAAAACTGCTGGGAAGAGTTGCGGTACAACAGAGAGACGGGATCTAAAACTACTGGAAAGCGTTGCGGTAAAACAGAGAGACGGGATCTAAAACTGCTGGAAAGAGTTGCGGTAGAACAGAGAGACGGGATCTAAAACTGCTGGGAACAGTTGCGGTAGAACAGAGACGGGATCTAAAACTGCTGGGAACAGTTGCGGTAGAACAGAGAGACGGGATCTAAAACTGCTGGGAACAGTTGCGGTAGAACAGAGAGACGGGATCTAAAACTGCTGGGAACAGTTGCGGTAGAACAGAGAGACGGGATCTAAAACTGCTGGAAAGAGTTGCGGTAAAACAGAGAGACGGGATCTAAAACTGCTGGGAAGAGTTGCGGTAGAACAGAGAGACGGGATCTAAAACTGCATTTGTCAATGAGAGCATATTTCGTAATTTAGATATATTTTTAAGATGGAAAAATGTGGTTTTACAGATACTCAAATGAAAGATTGCTATCAAAGAGAAAACCCAGGTTGTGCTAGAACAGAGATGGGATCTAAAACTGCTGGGAAGAGTTGCGGTAGAACAGAGAGACGGGATCTAAAACTGCTGGGAACAGTTGCGGTAGAACAGAGAGACGGGATCTAAAACTGCTGGGAAGAGTTGCGGTAGAACAGAGAGACGGGATCTAAAACTGCTGGGAAGAGTTGCGGTAGAACAGAGAGACGGGATCTAAAACTGCTGGAAAGAGTTGCGGTAGAACAGAGACGGGATCTAAAACTGCTGGAAAGAGTTGCGGTAGAACAGAGAGACGGGATCTAAAACTGCTGGGAACAGTTGCGGTAAAACAGAGAGACGGGATCTAAAACTGCTGGGAAGAGTTGCGGTAGAACAGAGAGACGGGATCTAAAACTGCTGGAAAGAGTTGCGGTAGAACAGAGAGACGGGATCTAAAACTGCTGGAAAGAGTTGCGGTAGAACAGAGAGACGGGATCTAAAACTGCTGGGAACAGTTGCGGTAGAACAGAGACGGGATCTAAAACAGCTGGGAAGAGTTGCGGTAGAACAGAGAGACGGGATCTAAAACTGCTGAGAACAGTTGCGGTAGAACAGAGAGACGGGATCTAAAACTGCTGGGAAGAGTTGCGGTAGAACAGAGAGACGGGATCTAAAACTACTGGAAAGCGTTGCGGTAAAACAGAGAGACGGGATCTAAAACTGCTGGAAAGAGTTGCGGTAGAACAGAGAGACGGGATCTAAAACTGCTGGGAACAGTTGCGGTAGAACAGAGACGGGATCTAAAACTGCTGGGAACAGTTGCGATAGAACAGAGAGACGGGATCTAAAACTGCTGGGAACAGTTGCGGTAGAACAGAGAGACGGGATCTAAAACTGCTGGGAACAGATGCGGTAGAACAGAGAGACGGGATCTAAAACTGCTGGGAACAGTTGCGGTAGAACAGAGAGACGGGATCTAAAACTGCTGGGAACAGTTGCGGTAGAACAGAGAGACGGGATCTAAAACTGCTGGGAAGAGTTGCGGTAGAACAGAGAGACGGGATCTAAAACTGCTGGAAAGAGTTGCGGTAAAACAGAGAGACGGGATCTAAAACAGCTGGGAAGAGTTGCGGTAGAACAGAGAGACGGGATCTAAAACTGCTGGGAACAGTTGCGGTAGAACAGAGAGACGGGATCTAAAACTGCTGGGAACAGTTGCGGTAGAACAGAGAGACGGGATCTAAAACTGCTGGGAACAGTTGCGGTAGAACAGAGAGACGGGATCTAAAACTGCTGGGAACAGTTGCGGTAGAACAGAGAGACGGGATCTAAAACTGCTGGAAAGAGTTGCGGTAGAACAGAGAGACGGGATCTAAAACTGCTGGGAACAGTTGCGGTAGAACAGAGAGATGGGATCTAAAACTGCTGGGAACAGTTGCGGTAGAACAGAGAGACGGGATCTAAAACTGCTGGGAACAGTTGCGGTAGAACAGAGAGACGGGATCTAAAACTGCTGGAAAGAGTTGCGGTAGAACAGAGACGGGATCTAAAACTGCTGGAAAGAGTTGCGGTAAAACAGAGAGACGGGATCTAAAACTGCTGGGAACAGTTGCGGTAGAACAGAGAGACGGGATCTAAAACTGCTGGAAAGAGTTGCGGTAGAACAGAGAGACGGGATCTAAAACTGCTGGGAACAGTTGCGGTAGAACAGAGAGATGGGATCTAAAACTGCTGGGAACAGTTGCGGTAGAACAGAGAGATGGGATCTAAAACTGCTGGGAACAGTTGCGGTAGAACAGAGAGACGGGATCTAAAACTGCTGGAAAGAGTTGCGGTAGAACAGAGACGGGATCTAAAACTGCTGGAAAGAGTTGCGGTAAAACAGAGAGACGGGATCTAAAACTGCTGGGAAGAGTTGCGGTAGAACAGAGAGACGGGATCTAAAACTGCTGGAAAGAGTTGCGGTAGAACAGAGACGGGATCTAAAACTGCTGGGAAGAGTTGCAGTAGAACAGAGAGACGGGATCTAAAACTGCTGGGAAGAGTTGCGGTAGAACAGAGAGACGGGATCTAAAACTGCTGGGAACAGTTGCGGTAGAACAGAGACATCTGCATACACTTCTGAGTGCCACGCCCACATCTCATCATCCAATCAACATCTGCATACACTTCTGAGTGCCACGCCCACATCTCAACATCCAATCAACATCTGCATACACTTCTGAGTGCCGCGCCCACATCTCATCATCCAATCAACATCTGCATACACTTCTGAGTGCCACGCCCACATCTCAACATCTAATCAACATCTGGATACACTTCTGAGTGCCACACCCACATCTCATCATCCAATCAACATCTGCATACACTTCTGAGTGCCCCGCCCACATCTCAACATCTAATCAACATCTGTTTACACTTCTGAGTGCCCCGCCCACATCTCAAAATCCAATCAACATCTGCACACAACAGCCACGCCCACATTTCAACATCCAATCAACATCTGCACACACTTCCAATCAACAACCCCTGGACAGAACCATGTCTCATCCTACATTCATTTCTTTTTCCATAATCTGTTACACTGTGATATACGTCACAATAAGGAAGTTGTGGCTCCTGTGAAGCGAGGCTCCTGTCTGCCTCGCTGCCTGCTGTGTGTTTGTTTGCTTCGAGGTTGTAAGCTCCACCTGAGCCTCGTATTTCTTTGTTTTGAGCCATCATTTATCATTTACTATCATTTCTAGTTGTTTATACTACTAAATACAGCTTACCCAACATCTGAGATTAACCTTACATCTCTAGCTTCCGTTATTGTTAACACAGCACGCTAACTCGCTAATGTTAGCCTGTTAACGCGCACCCGTGCGATTTATTTATTTATTTATTTTCTCTCGTGCCCGCCCGCGCCTTTGAGTTCATAAGTCCAGGTAAGTAAGAATCAGTCAACAAACACGGTGAGTAATGTCTTGTCCTGTTATTGTCACCTGTGTCACATGTCATATGTTTAGTATAGCCTTCTCCAATGGTAATATAGGATTTATATGTGATAAATGCAAGGAGACAGTCAGGCTGACGGAGAAGATTTCAGAACTAGAGACACGCATCCAAACTTTAATTGAGGATGGTAAGAATGCTAGATCTTTAGATAGTGTTTTGGATGCGCCTAGCATAGTGAACTCTTTACATGATACGGTTCCGGCTGAAGTAGAGCCCGTGCAGCAGGGCAGATGGGTGACTGTGAGAGATCAACGCTATAGTCTTAGAGCTAAAACATGACAATCTGGCAATCAGGAAGCAGACAGACTGGCTAAACCGACCGTCTGCTAGCGGCCTCACGTCACCAAGGTCAGATAAATCCCATCACATAGAGCCTCTTTCACCTAGATATCATCATATAGAGACTGTGTCTGTTCCCCGAATTTGGA